TCCAGCTGGGTGCAGTGGTGCATGCCTGTAGTCCTAGCTACTCAAGAGGTTGAGGCAGGAGGACTGTTCGTTGTTCAAGGCCAGCCTGGACAATACAACACATGCCATTTCTAAAATATAAAACAAGAAAAAATTTAAAAAAATTATTCCTTCTAACAACCCCAGCAAATGGGGAAATTACCTAAGTGTTAGATATAACTGGATCAAGATTTCTAAGAAAATTAGACTCTCACAGTCCAGTGATTCTCATTCCAAAAACTTAAGATGGATCCAGGAATTTCACCTCTTTTAGGTACAATGTTCATATACTGAGTAATTCTTTTTAATTTGTATTCATTTATTATTATTTTTTTGAGACAGAGTCTCACTCTTGCTGCTCAGGCTGGAGTGGAATGGTGCAATCTTGGCTCACTGCAACCTCCACCTTCCAGGTTCAAGTGATTCTGCTGCCTCAGCCTCCCAAGTAGCTGGGATTACAGGCATGCGCCACTACGCCTGGCTCTTTTGTATTTTTAGTAGAGACATGGTTTCACCACGTTGGTCAGGCTGATCTCGAACTCCTGACCTCAAATGATCCACCTGCCTCGGCCTCCCAAAGTGCTGTGATTACAGGCGTGAGCTACCGCGCCTGGCCCACATATTGAGTAATCCCTACTGTGTGTGGTTTTAACATAGGTAAAATAAAACTAATCTTCACTGGGTTTCCTGAGTCTTCTAAAGTTTTTAGAATAAACATTCTGGGATATTTGGCCTGTAGAAGGCAGGTCTTCATACTGAGGAATAGGGCTGGAGTCAGGGAGAAAGAAGGAGTTGAGCTCCTTCAATTTCCACTTTCCAAGAAAGATTTAACAGCACAAAAGAAAAGGTCACATTAAGAAAAAGAAAATCAAACTGCTACAATTTATTTAACTTTTTAACAGGAAATATAAGTATGTAATGTAAACACTGACACGTGAAATAAAGTACAAGGATCAGGAAGACAAGCGAATTGGACAATAGTCTTGCTTTAACACTTCACTGCTTCCTGATTTCATTTGCAGCATGAATCACATGGTTATACAGACTGGCAGAAGTAACGGCAACATTCAGATTTACAGATACACCAGAAAGCCTCTGAAATCCAACAATGCCGTATGGAAGTCTGATCTTTCTGCTGCAAAAAAAAATTAAAGCTGGGCACATGTCCATTTATCCATTTACCCAAGGCATTTAATGTAGGAGCATAAGAATGCACTGATTAACACATGAGCTTTAATATGCTTGTGGAGGCCAAGATTAAATTGTGCCTCTTCTCCCTCTTCAGATAAAATAAAATTAACCAAATTAAAAGCAGAGCTGCCTGATACTGGCCAGAAGACTACATAATCACAGTGAATTCTTATTTCAATAAATCCCAGGAAATGCAAAACACAATAAATGATTGCCGTTGGAGCTTTGCCCAAATGGTCACCCTAGACCTCATGCTGCAGAATCGTATCGGGTTTTCAAGGTTCTTTCCTAGAACTCCAAAGTTGGAAAAATAACCTAGATAAATGGTTGGGATAAAGACCCATCATGATTTAAAACAAAGGGCCTATTTCCAAACTTGAATTCGGTAATAAAGAGTATGGGCTGTAATTTTCTGTGATTATCTCAAAAGATTAAAATAACCTGTCTTCTTTCTTATCAGATGACACCTACCAGATAGGAGGTAAATTTTGGTAATAGATGCCTACCATGCAGACTGGTTCAGTAATGGTACTCAGCATCACAAGATTTGGGGATTCAGATAAGGCTGCTTTAGAGCTAGAAATCACAGAACCATGCATTTGCCAAGTATACCTACTTCCTCACTCACCCCATGATCAAAGGCTATTAAAAGTCATCTGGGCCGGGCGCGGTGGCTCACGCCTGTAATCCTAGCACTTCAGGAGGCCGAGACGGGAGGATCACGAGGTCAGGAGTTTGAGACCAGCCTGGCCAACAAAGTAAAACCCCACCTCTACTAAAAATACAAAAATTAGCTGAGCGCGGTGGTGCATGCCTGTAATCCCAGCTACTCGGGAGGCTGAGGCAGGAGGATTGCTTGAACCCGGGAGGCAGAGGTTGCAGCGAGCTGAGGTCATGCCACCGCACTCCAACCTGGGTGACAGAGCAAGACTCTGTCTCGCAAAAAAACAAAAAAAAAATTATCTGTAGTCCCACATCCCTCTATACTCCATAATCTATGGAGAAATAAGTATCTTGCATGCTTCCTCCTTATGGCAAGTGGAACAGTCAGTGTAGGCTGAACACTGATTTTCTGAGGGAGAAATGCTACTCTGAGCAGGTGTTTTGAAACTGGTTTTCCCAGGCAAAGCTATCCTTCCTATATCACAAAGTGATGGAGATTTTAAAAAATGTGTTTATAAAATATCACAAGGAAACACCTTCACAACAAAAAACATTCATTTCTATATTCCTTACCTATAACATTTGGCACAGTGTCCTGCCATTTATTGTGCTCTCACTAAAGACATACATAGAACAGAGAGATCCAAAATCAGGTTTTAAAAGTGTTAGGAACTGCTATTTCCAAGGAATCCCTGCATCAGTCCTGGCCTTTGTTTGTGCTATATTATAATTAAGGTGTTGTGTAAAAAAAAAAACAAAACAAGCAAGATGATAAAACAGACCAGCATTATACTACTTTGATTAGAAAAAAGCCATTCATCACAGACGGACCTCCATTCCTGGATTCTTATTTACCTCTGCGAAACATAGAGGGCCTTAGCTACTGTGAAGAACAGCACATTATCACTGTAAGTAAGGCAAATGTTTCACTTATAATTCTCTGTCCTACAGTCAGATCATATGTGCCAGTTTTAACCTGGAAAACAGTAATCAAGTATTGAGAATTAAATACTAGAGATCTTTCAAGCAAGGAGGAGCCCAGTCTATCTTCACACACTCCCCAGTTATTGTTCTGTACTGTCTAGACCTATTACCTCTCCAGTGCTTCAACTCTGTCTCTGATATTCCTGCAGAGCAGATCTCAAAGAGGAGCTTTTTAATATTGTAACTAGCCATTTCTTCTGTTATCACTTCTTTTCTTCTCTCTTGGCATCAGTTCCTATTAGAGTGCCCTCCTCTTTGAAAATGAAAGATGGGGCTGGGTGCAGCGGCTCATGCCTGTAATTCCAGCACTTTGGGAGGCTAAGGTGGGTGGATCACCTGAGGTCAGGAGTCCAAGACCACCCTGGCCAACATGGTGAAACCCCAACTCTACTAAAAATACATAAATTAGCTGGGCGTGATAGCTCATGCCTGTAATCCCAGCTACTCGGGAGGCATAAGAATTGCTTCAACCTGGGAGGCAGAGGTTGCAGTGAGCCGAGATCACACCACTGCACTCCAGCCTGGGCGACAGAATGAGACTCCACCTCAAAAGAAAAAAGAAAAAGAAAAAAAAGAAAAGAAAAGAAAGAAAGAAAAATGAAAGATGGAACTTCTGAAAAATAGATTCATCCTATTTGCAGATATTCAGATCAGTTACCCTTAGGAAAATAAGGCACCTATAATGTGACCCCACATTGACTACAGGGATAGTACTAATATTTGGATCCTGTGTGGCTGCAAAAGAAGACGACTTCCAAACAGAAGCACTACTTTCCTGCCACAGGTCAGGCTGCATCACACAGCACTGCTGTGCTAGTCTAACATACAGGCAGACTGGAGGCTCCAAAGAACTCAAAGAAATACAGATACAATTCTTCCTTAAAATAGAAAGTTACAGTATCAGTTGGGTCTCTGGTTAACCTCATCAGTCCTTTCGAGTAATGTTTTCATGGTTGAGTGAGGAATATGGAGGAGCAACAGATGAGAGTAAGGAAACCTAGGTTCCAGTCCCAGCTCTATTACTTACTGGCTGTGTGACCTCAGGCAACTATGTTTACCTCCCCTCACTCCCCACCCCAGCCTGTTTCCTTATCTGTAAAATGGGGATAAAAAATCACCTGCCTTGTCTACCACATGTTGTGACTGTGAGGATCAAATGAGATGCTGTGAAAGTGCCTTGTAAACTGAAGTACTGACAGTAAAGGCTTTTAAAGTAATAGTATATACTTATTACATTTTAATTAGGTCCTTATAATTGCCTATTTGACTAGAAGTGCCCCATGCAGGATGTGCCTCACGACAGACAGAACTAAAAAATAGGTGCTATAAATATACACTGGTCCTTTTCACTGGGGGTGGTTAAAAAAAAAAGGAAAATTCTTAATTTCCTCAGCAGTGGCCTCAGATTACATTACTTAAAAATGTGATGTCATCCAAGTCTATCAATTGATAAAATTTTCTCCAAATATGTCCTATACAGTTGTAGTTTTGTCTGTTGATATCTTCACACGGAGGAGTCTAGAATTCAAAACCTAGCATGCTAAAACTAAACAAAAAAACAATACAACCATAGAGTTACAGTGGGTTGTAAAGGAAATGAAAATTAGAGGCATCATTATAATAAAATTAGGTCACAGTTCCTCAAATGGTCGCCTTTTTCCTGAGATAGCTCCAGGACAGGGTCCTAGTTCTGTGAAGTGCTTTAAAGCAGCTTAGTCTTGCTGGAGGTGAAAAGGACATGTGGGCTGGCAACTAGGCTATGTTCATTTTCAGCACGAGGATTTGAACAAGAAGGTCTGCTAGGAGCTGCCAAACAGCTTTGGTGGAGAAGCCCATATGGCCTAAGAGAGGCTTGCTAGTTCTCAGATGCCAGGCCAGAGTGTGGAGAACAGCTTAACACAGCCATCCAGTCCCAGGATTTTCAATTCTTCCTGTAAGTTGGTTCTGCTCTTCTCCGGTCTAGTAAATAATTGAACAGAGGAAAAACAATGAGATATGGAGCAATATATCTATCTGTGCTTTAGGGCCTTTCTCTGCCTAGCTGCAAAAAGTTTACATGCAGAACAGAGACGTGACACAAAAGGAGCAAATGTGATTTTTGACTAGAGTTTGAAATAGACTTTGACTAGCCCAGAGCACCCAGATTCCAGTATTCGTGTCAGAAGACCTTTATTACAAATGTTACAGGCGATGACTTGCAGGGAGTCAGGTCACTGGAATCACTAGTTAACAAGACGGTTGTCCTTTGGGGCCACAGGTGTGTTGCTAACCTCCACTTTTCTTCCTGATTTGCTTTGCTTTCCGGGGTTTGAGGATGGTGTAGTTTACATACACCGTATACTGATCTGACAGGAAAGGGACATAGAATGCCCGCAGCAGCTTTGAAGATCTGAAAAACAAGGGTTAAAAAAGAGAATTTTATCACTTGGGAGAATTTACTAATGGTACTAAATGTAATTAAAAGAAATAAACTAAGATCTGTAGTAAGGATTATATTTTATTCAAGTGGCACAGAAAAGCCTATTACTTAGGTACTAGATCATGATAAAAGACTTAATCAAGGCCGCGTACCTTGTCACCTAAATGAAAATTTATTATTGTCCCTAATATGCTACAGTATATCCTTCAGAAGAGTCCTAGGTCTTCATTTTGCATTAGAATGTGCCATAGAAAAATTCCAGGTCAATCGAAGGACTGCTATTGCTGAAATGAATTCTTAACAACAAAATGGTTTCTGCATCTAAGAAACTGTAGAGATGCCAAGTACTCAAATGACCTGGACTCCAGCTCTAAGTTTTCCTGGAGAGGGGAAGAAAACTACATCCTGGGTGCCTGTGCATAGTGTTCCAGTATTGTCTAAGTCAAGGAAAGCGTCTACACACAAGTCCATGTTGTGATAACATGTCCCTGGTAAATTATAATATATCTACTTATTACTGAAACATAAGAACTGAAAACCTAAATTTCTCATGAATTTCTGAAGAATGTGAAAAGTGCTTATATTTTAAATATATTATCGGCCGGGCACAGTGGCTCACGCCTGTAATTCCAGCACTTTCAGGGACCGAGGCAAGCAGATCATTTGAGATCAGGAGGTCGAGACCAGCCTGACCAACATGGTGAAACTCTGTCTCTATTAAATTAATAAATACAAAAAAATTAGCCGGGCATGGTGGCGCATGCCTGTAATCCCAGCTACTTGGGAGGCTGAGGCAGGAGAATTGCTTGAACCCGGGAGGTAGAGGTTGCAGTGAACCGAGGTCACACCACTGCACTCTAGCATAGGCGACAGCGCGAGACTCCATCTCAACAAAAATAAAAAAAAAATATATGATTTAATCCATTTGATAATTCTATGAGGAAGTGGCATTATTATCCCTATTTTATAAAAGGGAAACTAGGGCTTCAAATTGCACAGGGTTACACAGTAAGTGACAGAGGCCTCATTTAAATCCAGGTTTGACTCCAGAGTCTGCACTCTTAACCATTATGGTTTATCATGCATCCCAGGAACAGACTAACAGGATTTGTCATTTCCTAGAAAAAGTTGTAGTGATAGTTTTAAATTCTGTATGGAGTATTACTTCCTGACTCTGATTTCTGAGTCTGAAAATCAAAAGTTGGCCTAGTTACTGCCATCCTGAATGAGGTAGCTGAAGGTGTTCCACTGCCAGTCCTTTTCCAAATTCTAAACTTGTAAATGTCATGTCAACGTGGCATTTGTGCTGGCAGCCTACCCTTGGGTTTGGCAGACTCCTACAATGCCTGCACACAATGACACTGTGCTTGGCATGCATGCCTCTTAGAGATTCTTCCCAACTAGGACGCTGGCAGTGCCCTGTGCTCTGTGAGATTCACTTTACTTCAACAGTGAACTCTATCAAGGGCTTTGATAGAGAAAAGAGGTTTGGAGAAGAGACATGAGACAAAGCAGGGCTCCTACAAATAAAATGAACAGAAGGAGGAAGGATCTACCCCAGTCAAGGAGAAGTTAATGGCCAGGCACGGTGGCTCAGGCCTGTAATTCCAATATTTTGAGAGGTTGAGGTGGGAGGATTGCTTGAGCCCAGGAGTTTGAGCCCAGCCTGGGCAACAAAGTGAGACCTGTGTTTACAAAAAAATGTTTAAAAATTAGCCTGGCAGGTTGGCACACACCCGTAGTCCCAGCTATTCTGAAGTCTGAGCTGGTAGTACGGCATGAGCCCATAAGCCCAGGAGGTTGAGGCTGCAGTGAGCTGTGATCATGCCACTGCACTCCAGCCTGGGTGACAGAGTGAGACATTGTCTAAAAAAAAAAAAAGAAAGAAAATTTACCCTTTTCATCTACACTGCACAAATAAGGTGAAGGGTAAAGGGCAGAACAGAAAGATGCAAAATAGAGCAAATTCCTACAAGCTTTAGTAAAGAAAGTATAAAACTAACAAGTGTAATTTCCATTTTAGTTGACTCTATAATAAAAGCTTCATTAATATAGTCATTGTATATTTCTGGTCAACTCAGTCCTTGGTATAACCTCAGGGTCCAGTGGACCCAATTTTAGTTTTCAACTTTCTTTTTTTTTTTTTTTCCTCAAGAGACAGGATCTCACTATTTTGCCCAGACTGGCCTTGAACTCCTGGACTCAAACAATCCTCCTGCCTCGGAATCCCAAAGTGTTGAGATTACAGGTGTGAGCTACCTCACCTGTCCCAGGTTTTCACTTTCTTTTTGTAGCAATTCCTTACTATTTGGGAGGATTGCTAGTTCATAATTTTATTCTTTTTAGAGTCTTCCAAAGAACAAAGATAAATTATACTTATTTTCATTTATTTATTTTGAGACAGGGTCTCGCTCTGTTGCCCAAGCTAGAGTGCAGTAGCATGATCATAGTTCACTGCAGCCTTGACCTCCTGAGCTCAAGCAATCCTCCCGCCTCAGCTTTCTGAGTAGCTGGGCTACAGGTGTGCCTAGCTAATTTTTTATTTTTTGTAGAGATGGGGTTTCATTGTGTTATCCAAGCTGGCCTTGAACTCCTGGGCTCGATAAATCCACCTGCCTCAGCCTTCCCAAGTGTTAGGATTACAGATATGAGCTACCATGCCCAGCCTATAAAATAACTTAAAAATAGGCCAGACGCAATGGCTCACACCTATAATCCTAGGACTTTGGGAGGCCAAGGCGGGTGGATCACGAAGTCAGGAGTTCAAGACCAGCCTGGCCAAGATGGTGAAACCCCATCTCTACTAAAAGTACAAAAATTACAGCGTGCCTATAATCCCAGCTACTCAGGAGGCTGAGGCAGGACAACTGTTTGAACCTGGGGGGTGGAGGCTGCAGTGAGCCGAGATTGTGCCACTGCACTCCAGCTTGGGTGGCAGAGCGAGACCCTGTCTCAAAAAAAAAAAAAAAAGGTAAAAATATAGAAGACAAAGAGGGTCCATTGGACTGAGATAGTAAATGGTGATGACTATTTTCCTGGTAGGCTGATAGATCATGTTCAAAAAAATGATCATTTTCTGAAATTTCTGAAATTATCAGAAAATGATCTTACTCTGATTCCACTCAGGAGTTGGAAAAAAAAATATTTCCTGATCACTAGGTGTGAATAAAAGAGAGAGAAAAGAATAATAATAATTTTAAAAACTATCTTGGTCTGCACATGGGATATATCATCATCAAAAACACTGACTAGCAGCCGGGCGCAGTGGCTCACTTGAGGTCAGGAGTTCAAGACCAGTCTAGCCAACATGGTGAAACCCTGTCTCTACTAAAAATACAAAAATTAGCCAGGCATGGTGGCGGGTGCCTTTAATCTCAGCTACTTGGGTGGCTGAGGCAGGAGAATTGCTTGAACCTGGGAGATGGAGCTTGTAGTAAACTGAGATTGCGCCACTGCACTCCAACCTGGGTGATGGGGCAACACTCTGTCTCAAAAACAAAACAAAACAAAACAAAATAAAACACTGACTAGGCAGGTGTTGTGGTATGTTCCTGTAATCCTGGGTACATGAAAGAATTGCTTGGGCCCAGGAGTTCAAGGGCAACCTGGGCAAACACAGCAAAATCACATTTCTGAAAAACAAAAAAAGTTAAAAAATAACTAGCTGGACTGAAATAGAAGAAGGATTACTATGCATTATTGTTGAGTTCAAAAGAGAAGCTAAAACAAGGGTAAAAAATAAAAGAGATTGGGAGAAAATGCAATATATGTACCAGACGATTTGAATCTAGACTATATAAACTGTTTGGGCAATCAGTAAGACAATTCAACAGGAAAAATGACAAAAGATATGATTACAGAAGAGAAATGCAAATGGTTGATAAACATTAAATAATGATCAATCTTACCAGGAATCAGGGAAATGTAAGACTAGACACAATTTTCAATAATCAGGTTTGGAAAAGTTAAAAAGCCTGACAGTCTCAAACACTGATGAGGAATCAAGAAACAGATATTGCCAGTAAAAGTGTAAACCTGCATAGCCACTTAGAAAGGCAGCTTTAGCAGTATCAATTAAAATGAAAATTATGCAGTCCCTATGATATAGCAAAGGACTTTTACTTTGTACTTTACGCTATGTTATTTATTTATTTGCTTGTTTTACAAACAACCTACTTGGTTTTCCATTTGCTATGATTAAAAATTTCAAATATATATAAAAGATAAATTTATTACTTATAATAATGTTTTAAAACCAGTAAACAAATTTTTAAATAAAGGAAACCCTCAATTTTCAAAAACAAAAAGCAACCAACCAAACAAAAAAATCAATGTGCCTACTATATGTAAGCATTTGTGTGCTGGCTCTGAAGACATAAGTCTCTCTTCTCAAAGGGCTAATAAGCTAATTGGGTAGAACAGATTATGAACGATACATCATCATAACTTAGCATACGGTAAATTCTAAACAACTGACACAGAAGTTCAAAGTGATAATGCAAACATTCAGACGGGAGGTCAAATGCTGAGGGCTGGGTAGGTAGGTGTATAAGCAGCATTTAATAAACATGTAGCACATCATTTCATTTTATCCATCCAGTATTCCAAGGTACACTAAGCAGGAAAAGCAACTTGTCTAACCATAACCAAATCTACAGGCATCTCAGGTTAATACTCTGTGCATTCAGCAGCAACTAGAGGTGGGCTGAATAAATCCCAAACTCTTTCTCACTGCCTACAAATCCCTAGGAGATCCAGCCCTTGCCTGATTGTCCCACCTCACCTTGTGCCATCTTCCTCCTGGACCTCTACACTCCGGTCACACCAGCCCCCTTTCAGTTCTTCAAAAATACAAGCTCCTACCTAAGAGCCCTTGCATATGCTGTTGCCTCAGCCAGGAACACTCTTCTACCCTGTTTTTCTCGTGACCGAGTTCATCTCATTTTTCATGTCTCAGCTTAAAAGTTACC